TTTTTTTTTTTTTTTTTTTTTTTTTTTTTTTTTTTTTTTTTTTTTTTTTTTTTTTTTTTTTTTATATACTGTTATCATCATCATCATCTGGGGGCCCTTTAACATTTGTCTTTACCCTGGACCCCTGCTGTCGTCTTCTGTTTCTACTTAGTTATATTATTCTATCGAGTTATAGTATTATTATATTATATTATATTATATATTATATATTATATTATTATCTTATTATCTTATTATATTATTATATTACTATATTATTATATTATATTATATATTATATTATTATATTACTACATTATTATATTATTATATTATTATATTATTATGTTATATTATTGTGTTATGCTTTTAATAATATAATAATAAAATATAAATATTATAATAGTTCTTTCTGTTGTAGCTAAGGTAAGACAGAGAAAAACAGAAACCCAGGCGGATGTTTTTTGTTGTTTTTGTTTATTTTTATTTTATTTTTGTTTTATTTTTTTAATTAATATAATTACTTTAACGCCAAAAACACAAAAATACAAAAGACAATGCAGGGAACTATTTTTTAATATTCTATATAAATAAATATTTGTATGTTTATTTGCTTATTTATTCTTCATATATGACGAATTTAAAAAAGATGAATAAATAAATAAATAAATATATTTATTATGTTGATGAGGAAAGTTATATTTAATTAGGCAATTTAAACCTGAATTAACACCCTAAGCCCTAAACCCTAAACCCTAAACCCTGAAAGCTTCAATTCTCTGCTGTATGTACACCCCAACTATAATATAAATCCTTCTAAATACAAATAGATAAACATATTTCTCCGTTTATCTATTTGTTCACACTTATAACAAATTAACCTGGATATTTATTTGTTTATCTATTGTATATATTATATATATTATATATATTATATAATATTATATATGTTATATATATATATATATATATATATATATATATATGTATATATAATATATATATAACATATATAATATTATGTAATATATATAATATATATAATATATATAACATATATAATATTATATAATATTGTATTCTACAGTGCATGCGGAAAGACTGTGTTTATCTTTTTTTATTTATTTTTGTTTATTTATTAATTAATATTTTAATTTATTAAAATTAATTGAATATTGATGTTGAGTTTGTTTATATATTTCTTTTGTGTTGTCTTTTTTGTTTCTTTTTGTCTCTCTTTCTGTCTCTTTCTCTTTTTTTTTTGTTTGTTTTTGTCTCTGTATCTTTTCGTTTGTATTTTTCTTTTTTTCTGTTTTTCTTTGTATTGTTTTTCTTTGTTTACTTCTCTCTGTCTCTGCCTTTTTCTCTATTTTTCTTCTCTCTGTTTTTGTTTTTAAACCCTAAACCCTAAACCCTAACCCTAAACCATAAACCCTATTATCACTGCTTCTGCGAATATAATCTAAACCCTAAACCCTAAACCCTAAACCCTAAACCCTAATACTTATATGCTGTGTTGCTCAATAAGCCAAACTTAAAGCAAAGCATCGTCATGGTCCGCTGTACATACACCTAATTAGGGTTTACGGTAACTCCTAAACCCTAAACCCTAAACCCTGAAAAACCCTAGGGTTTAGGGTAGAACCCAAACCCTAAACCCTAAACCCTAAACCCTAGGGTTTAGAGTTCATCCTGAACCCTGAACCCTAAAAATTCTAGGGTTTAGCACTAACCCTAAACCCTAGGGCTTAGGATTTTCTTTAAACCCTAAACCCTAAACCCTCAAACCCTAAACCCTAAACCCTCAAACCCTAAACCCTAAACCCTCGATTATTTTTGTGCATTTTTTTGCATTTTAAGGAGAAGCACATCCATGACATTTCCCATAACGATTTGTCCTTTTTTAGTTCTTGCTTGTAGTTTTTTATTTTTAATTTTATTTATTTGTTTTTTTTCTCTTTTTTTTTGTAATTCTTTTTCTCTTTCTATCATTCTTTTTCTTTTTTCTTCTTCTTTTTCTCTCTGTCTCGCTTCATATATCTTCTGAGCTTTTACAAACGGCATATATCCTTTACTTCCTTTTAAACCCCCACCACCAGCAGCAGCAGCAGCAGCAGCAGCAGCAGCAGCAGCACCCCAGCCTGCATGCGGCTCATCAACTCCCCCTTTTCTTTTTTCTTTTTTTTCTTTTTCTTTATCTTCTTCTTTTTCTTCATTATATCTCTCGCTCTGCCAAGAACCCCCTGCAGCAGAATCTGAGTTATTTATATCTTTTTTTGTTGTTATTTTATTTTTATTTTGTTGTTTATTTTCTTCTTTTTTATTATAATTAATTTTTTCGTTTTCTTTTTTCTCTTTCTCTCTTCCTTGAGCTCCAAAGGGGTCCATCAACTGCGATAGAAAGGCATCGTTGTCACTAGCAGAAGCAATAGGGATAGTATCTGCTGCTGCTGCTGCTGCTGCTGCTCCTCCTCCTTCTGCTGCTGCTGCTGCTGCTGCTGCTGCTTTTGTTTTTTTCTGGAGCTTGAAAAACTCACTCTTAGCTCGTGCATCTTTTACTTTTAAAAACGTCTTACGAGCAAAACTTTTATCCTTCGGCTGTATCCACTGCCGCTTCTTCTTTCCTTGTTTCCCCTCTCCCCCTCTCAAACCCTTTGGGGGTCCCTTGGGGGCCCCCTTTCGAGGCCCCTTTGGGGGCCCACCGGGGGGCCCCCCGTGGGGCCCCTTCTGCTGAGCAATGCCGGGGGTCCTCATCAGGGGCCCCCGCTATATCTATTTATATATATATATATATATATTGTTATCCTTTAAAATAAACTCAAAATGTTTTTAAAAAGAATTTTAATAAAACACGAATTCACCAGAAACAGCAGATGACCTCACCG